ATACTTTTACTTGTGTAAATGAAGAGAGAGACAGGGTACTAAGTTCTGGGTAAACACCAAACCGGATTGGAAGGTTGTCAACCCTAACAGTTTGGCAAAAACTGCAGTGTGATATACAGTGCTTTTGTTGTAATGCTATGGTCTTGAAAGGGTTTAAAAGAGTGACTAGTGAAAAGAATCTGAAAAGATTCTGTACTTACTCCTCGGCCACGGCCTCTGCCTGTTGATGGTCCTCCAAAAGCATCATAGTTTCTGCTTCCAAATCCACTGTCAGGATAAGCAGGCGTTCCTCTCCCCCGAGAGCCTACAGGTGCAGGCTTCATATGGGGTGAAGAAAAACTGCTGTAGGAAGAGTAAGTCTCTCTTCCTCTGTCCTCCATAAACCCAGGCCTCAATTTTGAGCGTGAGTAAGGTGCTTCCCAGCTAGACCCGCCCTGGTTTCTACCTCCGAAAGAGTCAAGGCTATTCCGGTAGTTGCTGTCAAATCGACCACCATAACTACCTCCGAAGCGGCTTTGTTCGGGTTCATTATAACCATAGCCAGATCTGTACAGATCTCGCCCACCCAGAGAAGACCCGGAGTCATAAGACTCATAAGGTCCAAACCTGGAAAAGTTGCAGTGAGGAAAAAAAAAGTAAGCTTACTAAAGTTAAACATTTCAAAAGACAAGTTATCAGTTGACATTTATCAACTAAAATCAATGTATATTTTACTTTGGTAGGGTTTGCTTTGATTAGGTCTGGGCATTTCCATGCTGTGACCAGACAGAAAGCTATCTGAGTCACTTTTCACTGAAAAATAGTATTAAAATTCAGAATGCCTAAATTTCACTAAATTTAGTTGCTCAAAATTATTTCACCTCATTATTGTGCCCAGACCTAGTCTAACGAATGCAGGCACCTGCATATTTTAAAGGTTCATAAAAGTATTTTGTTTAAAGTCATGCCTAAAACAGTTCAATAGCATTTGAAAGACTTTGCCCTCAATTTAGAAGCTGTGACAGTATCAATAATGCAACTATTTTAACTTGTTATTTCAATGGTTCATAGTTCAGTTATATCTTACAGAAGAAATCTAAATAATTTTCCTTAACTATGCCTCATCTTCTACCATTACATTTACAATGTATCAGAGAGGATTGGGAAATCTATAGCCCTCCAAATATTGTGCGACTGTTTTTCATGAGCCCCAGAATGAAATGCTAAGAAATTTTAGACTTTGGAAACATTTGGAAAGTCATAGATTCACCTGCCTCTGTTTGTAGGGAATAAGACAAACTCTCTTTATAGAACTGAAAAGTCAAAATAAATCTTAAATATTAATGACCCTTTGGCACAGAGAAAGGCTGTATATTACATGCAAATACTATATTACCAAAAAGCTGTATGCAGCATTTTAAAAAGATACTAATTGAAGAACAGAAAAAAAGTGTGCAGAGTAATATCAATGTCATAAACTGCACGGAAATAGGAATTCATTTTCATTCCAAAGAATTAACTATATTTTAATTCTTAATTAAAGAAATTGAAAAGAAACTTCAAATAATTACAAATCACAATATGACAAGGCTATATTTATCTTGTCTCCACTTCATACTTTAAATACAAAACTTTCATATTTAAAATGCCAACTACAAAGCAGTCCATTACAACAATAAACTTTTTATATAATGCATTCAGTAAATTCCAGCCATATTCAGATTACTAAATGGTAGGTACATTTTTTCCTGATTCGCAAAATAGTTTACAACAGTGTTAGTTATATTAATTGTTGAAAAGCACTGTGTATTTATACAGCTAATTTCCCAATTCCTTATCAATGCCACAAAAAAATGGAGAAATCGAAATTGTTAACCATGTTCTTCTTGCTGTCACTGAAGAATTAGGATATGCAAATGAGACTGCAACCAGGTTTAATGTATCATTCAGTTATTTTGTTTAAAATGCAGAGTTCTTACAGGAAAGCCAAATTTAGAATTAAATCATGATCTGATGTTAGTAGACATCAACTGCAGGCACAGTGAAAAATCAAACTGTCAGAAATACTATTACAGTGCTAGAAACAATTTTAAAACACTGCACAAGTGTGTTTTAGTGTAATTAGTACCTGCCAATAAAATAATCTGGACATGAAAAACTGTCTACCAATGAATATTCTTGCAAAATATATTACTATTCAAATTAAATTTAAGTGTTCCTTTCAAACAGAAGGGGAAAACAAAAGCAGCAGTTCTGATCCAATTAAGAGCATTTCAGCTCTAGATTCTGTGCTAATATTTAATTGCTGAAATATTTTAAGAGATCTGTGATAAAACATGTATTGCAGCATTATATTTCATATAAAATATTTATTTTAAAAAGACTACACATTACACCTCTGCATAATAATGCACCATGCCCTGCAATATGCTCAAGGAACACTTAAATTAGATAGAGGTATACTTCAGAATATATTTGTATTATCTTTGACATACAAAGCAAATGATTCAGTATTTTACCTGGCAGTGCCTCCTCCACCTCCTCCTCCACCTCCTCCTCCTCCTCCTCCGCCACCTCCATGGCTTTCCATTCCATATGACTGATTCATATAAGAGTCCATAGCTCTTGGGCCACTATAGGCACCATGCCCATAGTCACGATCCATTTCTTAAAAAAAACAAAGATTAAGATTACTGAACTTTTGTAGATTAGTAAATTATGCACTCCCCAATTTACAACAATTGGGACCAGTTTCTGTTGCTAAGCCTGTTGCTAAGCAATGTGGTTGTTAAGTAAATTGCACCCCATTTTACAAACAATTGCTACTATTGTTAAGTGAACCACGTTTGTTAAAGGACTCGTGGTCATTAAGTGAGTTCAGCTTTCCCCATTGATTTTGCATATGAGAATCCCTCTGGGAATGTCACAAATGCTGATCAGATGCTCCCAGGACCCTGTCACCCTCAGAAGTATGTGCCAGTTGCCAAACAGCTAAATGTTCATCATGACTATGGGGATGCTGGGATATAAGTGCGAGGACTGTTTATAAATAACATGTTTCAGTGCCATAACAACCTTGGTCATTAAATAAATGGTTGTAAGTTAAGGCCTACCTGAATTCCAGTCTCAAGAACAGTTTATAATAAGATATCATCAAGACTTTTACAGCAAGATCACCCAAATTCAATTACACAAAGAAAATTCTCTATCCTCTGCTTCCAGTTCAACTAAGTAGGCTAATTTGCAGAAAAGCAGCTAGAAGAGATGGGGCTGAGCAAATGAAGGTCAGACATTCCATATGTATTTGTTTCAAAAATAAATTAAAATCTGAGATCAACTATCAACTTCTATAAAAGTATCCTACTGCTTCCATGAAACTACTCAATTACTAAAATATCAGTGAAATGTTTTAATCTCATTATTTATTTTACATTTTTATTCAGAATGATTATATATTCATTTGACCATCCTATATAAAGTGCGACTGAGTTAGCAAATTATATCTACAATACCCTTTTCCAAAATCAATAGTTACACTATGTAACTAACAATCCTTACAGAAATTATTTTCAAATATATTGAGCACAAGAATGCAGTCATTATAGGTAGTACTCAGCTTACAACTGTAGTGCAAGTCAATCTGTCGTAAGATGATTGTAAATCAAAGCACCCACAGGACTAACTCCATTTTATGACCTTCTCAGCAGCAGTTGTAAAGTGAATGCAACAACCATTAAGTGAGTCAATGCATTCTTATGTGCATTTTTTGCCAGAAACTGGCTAAAAAAGTTGGTTTCCAGCAAAAAAATAAATCTCGTGATAGCAGAATATGGCAACCAGCAGTAAAGGCAAGTTTGTTGCCAAGCACCCGAAATGCAGCCACATGATTTCAGGGATGAGATGTGCCACTATTGGAACGCCAGAACCAGTTCATAAATATTTTTGGAGGGAGAAGTCTGTCATAACTTTGATTGATTGCTAAGCTCTGATCTTTAAGAAATTATAATTATATAATTATAGTCAGGACTGGTGAGAGTGTACAAATATCATTCATTTCTATTTGCCACTGGTATCTATCAACAGTTCTTCCAAAAATCCCATCTTTCCATCTTATCTGCTGTTTCATCCATCATCTGCCACTTACATGGCCAAAATTTACGCTGATAGATTATTATTACTATTAATTATATTATTATTACTATTAATAATTACTGTTCTTCTCATCCTTCCTATTACCTAGCTCTTCCCACTTATGACTATAACTGTGTTGTTTGTATTTTTACAATTTATAGTTTTGTTTTCCTAGTATGTTTTGATTGCGTGTTAGTAACCTATGTATGATTTGACTGCTTATAGTAACTTATGACTATTACTATTGCTTATGACTATTTTCACTGATATGCACTGGAAAAAGTGACTTATGACCATTTTTCACATTTATGACCATTGCTGCATCCTCATGGTCTCGTGACTTGCATTTGGATGCTTGACAACTGACCCACATTTATGACATTAACATCAAATCACAACTTTTTGCTTTTTCATAATAATATGAGCAGCCATTTCTATAAAGATCTAGCAGTCTAATCGATAAAGCCCAAAATCAGAGTTTTGGGTTATTTTACTGTAACAGAGAGAGTCGGAAGTCAATGCTTCTTTTTTTTCTATTTTTCCTCACTTTTCTTTCCTCTTCCCCCACCCCACTGCTTTTCTATTTACTTTGTATTTTATAAGACTAACTCAATACAAATGTTAGTGGCTTAAAAAAAACCATTTATGACAGTTTGCAAGTCCCGGAGTCATGCCATTCCCCTTTCTGATAAGCAAAGCCAGTGTGGAAACCAAATTCACTTAAAAAATTGCATTCTTGATTTAAGAACTGCAGCAATTCCCTGAACAAATGTGGTGGGACTGGTCACAAAGTGGGGCAAAAACTCACTGAACAAATGTCTCACTTAACAAGATACATTCTGGGCTCAACCGTGGTCGTTAAGTTGAGGACTGCCTGTACTGCTTTTTTTTTTTTTATAGAGTTTTGATCTTTGTAAGCCGCCCGGAGTCACTGAACCCCATATATAAATTTAATTTTATTATTTATTTAAGAAAATATAAATTGCCTGAAATAATTTTTTTTAAAAAAAACCGCCTGGAAACAGTGGGGGAAAAAGCAGGAACAAAGTCGAGTACCATTCGCAGGCGAGAAAAAGCAAACCTTCCCCTTCGTTCGTCTAACGGGGCCCTTCCAGGAGGGCTTCTCCTCGCTCCGATGCCTCCCCACGTGCGAAGGACCAGCTTTTCCTTAAAAGTGCAAGGATCACGGGGATGACAGGCAGAAATACGCCCCCCCCCCCCGCCCGGCGACCTGCCGTAGGAAACCCTCTCTCTTTCTTGCATCTGTTCGCAATTCCGACGCCACCCAGATGTGGCGTAACGTAAATGTGGCGTAACGTAAATTCCGACGCCACCCAGATGTGGCCCGAGCTTAAAAACGTAACGGTCCCTTGGCCGGTGAATCGGTTCGGACGTTCATACGAGGGCCTTTCTTCGTCGCCATCAGTTACTACGCCATTCCAGAAAGCCATGCCCGGGTTGTTGTTTCCCCTCCCCCTCCTCCCCCCCCACTCACAACTCTCCATATGAATAATGACTTCAGGCGGGACTATTATTCGGATTGGGATTAAAGCCGGCCGGGTATACTAGGCCACGGGGAAGGGCGGGGACTGTGAGGAGCGCGGCCTCCTCAGGCTCCCCTGGGCCTTTTGTGTCGACACCCACGCCGAACATTTCGGGAATTAACATGGCGCGCCTCTGGCTGAGGGAAAAGGCCCACCACCACTGACCCCACCCCACCTAGGCCGGCACGCTCGTTTCCCGCCGGGGTTACTGTTGCTCCCGCCGCCATTTTGAGGCCAAGCCGCTTCACGGGCGCAACGGCAAATCCCAGTCTCACCTTCCCCGTAATCCATGGCGGCGACGGCCCTCGAGGGGGTGGGGGGTTTCTAGGCGCGGTTAAGAAGCGGCGTCGCTCTCCGTGCGGCGGTCGCAAGCTCCCTGTGACGTAGCTTCCGTTCCAGCGACGTACAAGGAGCACGGCGCGGCACGCGCGGCTTCTGAGCACGCTTATTGGCTACGTCACACCACCACCACCACCCCCTTTGAGCATAGAGCCGGTGAAAGGTGAGAGAGAGAGATAAAGGGGAAGCGCGAGCGCGAGGTTTCAATAGACTCTGTACAGATAACAGCAGCTGCGGGAAGATTGGCCGGGAGGTGGGGGGAAGAGTAAGAACAGCTTTCTTTATCGCCCCCTAGTGGTCTGATATTTATACGCATGCCTATGCAGTTAAGACTACTCCTGGTATCGGAACTGTGGACAATGAGGAGACATTGTGCAATATGCCTTTTTTTTGCGTAGGGAAAATTACAGGTCAGGATGGCAAGGGTGAGACCTGTTTGAACTCTCTCATAAAAAACTCCCAGTTGTGAACTCTTTCTACTACCTATTCAAAATAGACCACTACGGATGTGCTATGTTCCTTCCTGCTTCTACCATCATCCCAGTGCCAAAGAAGCTCTCCATCAAGGAACTGAATGACTACAGACCAGTTCCTCTAACATCTGTAGTTATGAAAATCTTTGAAATGCTTGTGCTGTCCCACCTGAAAACCATCACGATCCGCTGTTAGATCCCATGCAGTTTGCATACCGAGCAAATAGATCAACAGATGATGCTGTTAACATGGCTCTGCATTACATCCTACAACACCTTGAATCTCCAAATACCTATGCAAGGGTCCTCTTTGTAGACTTCAGTTCAGCATTCAATACCATCATTCCAGACATTCTTCTAAGTAAATTAAACCAACTAGCGGTACCTGAACACACTTGTAAGTGGATCATAAGCTTCCTAACAGACAGGAAGCAGCAGGTGAAGCTGGGCGGAATCACATCCCATACCTGTACAATCAGCAAAGGGCCCCCCAAGGCTGTGTGCTATCTCCACTTCTCCCTATATACCAATGAATGCATCTCAAACGATCCATCTGTTAAAATACTGAAGTTTGCTGATGACACAACAGTGATTGGTCTCATTCGAGACAATGATGAATCTGCATACAGACAGGAGGTTATACAACCTGCCTCGTGATGGAACCGGAACAATCTGGAACTGAACACACTCAAAACCGTAGAAATGGTGGTAGACTTTAGAAGAAACCCTCCCATACTACCACCTCTTACAATACTAGACAACACAGTATCAACAGTAGAGACCTTCAAATTTCTAGGTTCTACTATATCACATGACCTAAAATGGACATCTAACATCAAAAACATCATCAAAAAAGCACAACAAAGAATGTTCTTTCTGCACCAACTCAGAAAGCTCAAACTGCCCAAGGAGCTGCTGATACAGTTCTACAGAGGAATTATTGAGTCTATTATCTGCACCTCTATAACTGTCTGGTTTGGTTCTGCAACCCAACAGGACAGACACAGACTTCAGAGGATAATTAGGACTGCAGAAAAAACTATTACTACCCACCTGCCTTCAATTGAAGACCTGTATACTGCACAAGTCAAAAAGAGGGCTGTGAAAATATTTACAAACCCCTCACATCCCGGACATAAACTGTTTCAACTCCTTCCCTCAAAACACTATAGAGCACACCAGAACAACTAGACACAAGAACAGTTTTTTCCCGAAAGCCATCACTCTGCTAAACAAATAATTCCCTCAACCCTGTTCAACTATTACAAAGTCTGCACTACTATTACTGTTAATCTTCTCATCACTCCTTATCATCCATCCCTTCCCATTTGTGATTGTAGGACTATAACTTTGTCGCTTGTATCCTTACGATTTATATTGACTGTTTCCTAGTATGATTTGATTGTTGATTGTACCCTATGACTATCATTAAGTGTTGTACATTATGATTCTTGATTCTTAACTAATGTACCTTTTCTTTATGTATACTGAGAGTATTTACACCAAGACAAATTCCTTGTATGTCCAATCACACTTGGCCAATAAAGTATTCTATTCTATTCTATTCTGTTCTATTCTATTCTATTCTATTCTATTCTATTCTATTCTATAGACAGTGATTAATATGTGTATGTGTGTGTGTGTGTGTGTGGTGCAGGTATATATGTATGTATATAGCATGTATTGTGTATGTTATGTATGTGTTTGGGTAGATATATACTTTCTCTTGAGACCAGACAACAGAATTTCATTTTTAATGGGGGCCAGTGTCCTCCAGTAAAAAAAAAAAAAGACAGTTGTCTTAAAACTCGGTAAGAGAATTGATTGATTTTTTTAAAAATTAAATGTCTAGAAATATCCTTATGCATCTCATATTCCACCCAAATTTGAGAGATTACTCCAGTGGTGTTCAATCACTTGTACAGGTGTCCCAGGTGGGATTCTGAAGCAGTGCAGGAGGGACAGTCACAAAGATCTTAAGTCTTAAAACTGAGCATAAATCACTTTTATGCATTCATCATATGTGTATACTGTAGCTGCCCATCTCACACTCATGCACGTAAAGATGTAACCATTCCTGGGGAAAGGGGCTTTTTGTTCCTACGTTGGTGGGTCCTGGTTATTTGTTTATTGAACAGTATTTATAAGTCACTCAATCTATCCAGGATCTGGCAAGACACAATTCAAAATACAATATCATAAAAACCGATCACTTAAAGGAATACATTCAAGTAACTGTGATGGCCACTAAGCAGAACAATAGATCAAAAACTCACTCTTCTGTTGCTTTTTATAAATTACTGATGAAATGTAAACAATAAAAGGAGCATACAATCTTCTATGGTGTAGGCTGATTTTATAGTTTATATAATAATCTTGAAGGGGTATTTATCTTTCCTTCTGTTAATAAAATACCAGTCAATTATTTCAGCTAATGTTAAAAATAAAGTTTTCTCTTAAGTGAATATGATTCTTGTAACAAATGCACATTTGCACTTTTCCTGGAAATACAATGGGATTGATTTGTTCATGGATGTTTTTCAACTTCCCTGTCTAGGTAAGCATTAACCAGCTCAAATCTATTTAAATTCCAGATTCAGGCAAGGTCAATCAGTTGCTGTCACTTAAGGTTAGAAATATATAAACTGCTGGAATTTGTATTATTTTGGGTCAAAGTACAATAACTTTTAGGATGAAACATGAAAAAAACATGGGGTTTTTCCCTCAAAAAAATTAGATCAAGCTATTCATGCAAATATAATTTGTGAGAGCTTTTGGAAAATGTTTATTTCCCCAATTCTCCTCCCAATTCTACTTTGCCATGACATTCCTTTTTCCTAAGCTATTCTGCCACATCCTCTAATCCTTTTTTCCATGTCCAAAGGCATTGCGCAAACCTGTTAAAGCAAGTTTTTTATATATATATATATTTTTTATAAATTTTATTTTTAAAAAAGCAAGTTTTTTGTGTTATCTTTTTTTAATGTTCTTCTAAGTTTCTAGTTTTAATACATCCAGTTATGCAGTGCTTTTAATAGGATCAACCAAAATGTCATAATGTTTTCAGCCAGCTTTTCAATTATCCAGAATTCTTGTTTAAGTTTGATATTAAAATAGCAGGAAAGGAGAAAAACACTGAACACTGGAATCCTGAAGTGGGAAACTGGGGTTTCCATTCAAACTATTAATTGGAAGAAAGGGTGGGACGTATTTCATAAATTAGACAAGGGGCCAGAATTATGGATAGCTGATTCTTATTTCTATATATGGCCTATCCTTTCACCAAGTTTTTGGAGATAGCATTCTGGCTTTTAACTGGATTTTAGCACCTTGCTTTTTAATGCCGTACTGTATTTATGCAAGTAAATTTGTTATAATTAATTACCAAAGTGTGGAGATGCATGTTGATCTTGCATATATCATTGAAATAATAATAATGGAATATAACTAAGCACCAGCAAAACTTGGAATAACCACCAAAGAGCAACAAAGCCTTGATACATTCTGTAACGATACTCTTCTCTTAACTAAGATGATTAGGAATATAATTTCAGTCACTAAGTGATACAGTCATAAAGTATGGTGTCATATGACCACATCGTTTAGTGACAGCAATTCCAACACTCCCCATTTCCATCATTAAATGGATTCCGGGTGATTTGCAAGCACACCAGCCGGTAGGTAAGTTGCTGTTGCCTGGTTAGCGAGAATGCAAATGACTCAGGAGCGACTTGCAAACAAGGCTGCAAATGGTGATAACAATAGTTATAGCATTTAGATTATAGCTTTACATGCTTTAGAGCACTCTCTAAACAGTTTACAGAGTCACCATATTGCCCCCAACAGTGACTGTGGGATGCTGTAAGTGCAAGCCCATTGCCAATCACCCAAATCAAGGTCAAGTGACCCCAGGGCTGCTGGAACAGCTGGTTCTTCAAAGACTGGTCATAAGTACCACACGTTCCGTGTTGTAACTTGGAATGGTCGTTCAACAAGTGGTTGCTAAATTGAGGACTACTTCCTGTATCTCTTTGCTGCCATGAAGTAGTCATAGAGAGTGTCAGAAACAAGCCAGAAAAAGTAGCTGTAATATAGCTGATGTAAAAGTATTTTGCCACCCTACTTCCTGAAGCAATAAAACAGATCTAATAGGCAGGGAAGGGTTTTTCTGTCCTCAAGAGCTCATTTGGTGCTCCAGGAGCCAGGATGGATGAAATACGTGTGATACTTAAGGAAAAGTCCATGTTCCTTTTTATTCCATCAGTAGCCTTGGGAAGTAAATTTAGTGAAAAGATGGTGTCTATTCAGTTAGCTTCATGGCTGAAGAGAGATTTAATTCTAAGTTCACCAGCTCTTCAAATGTTCTGTTACAATCAGGTCTCACAGCCCAAACCTCTACTCTCCCAAGGCCTTGAAGGCAAACCTATGAACGTGCATTTCACAGGTGGCAAACCATGTCATGTCACCAGACCTTCAAATCCTCTGGAAGTCACGTGAGAGAGCCCTGCTCTCGCCTGCAGAGCTTCCAAAAAGTGTGCAAAGGATACTTTCCTGCTTTTTGGGGGGAAGCTACAAGACAACATGAGAAC